TCTTATAGTCTTAAAAATGAACATTGATACAAAGGATAAATTCAGAGTTGCTATTGAATGAGTTCATTTACATGATTGGTTATGAATGTTAAAGTATGACAACTAGGTGTCGCTAATAACTTAAATCTATACTAGGGTGCTCGTTACAGGCTTAATTTCTTCCTGTTCTTCTTCTCGTTCTACTGAGCTAAGGCAGTGTCAAATCGAGCTGTCACAATTGATACCACCTTGTATTATTGCATCATGTATTCATACCACCAAAATTATTTCATAAATAGGTAATTTTAAACACACATATGTATGTACATTAGGGTGGTCCAAAAACAGTAAAGTCGGAATGGTACTGCTCTCACCCCTAGATTGTTCTATATCGAAAAAAAGTATACCAGTATTTTTTTTTATTTTGAAATCAAATAATATTCAGAGGTCGCTCAAAGCGCTCAAGTTTTCCATGTATTTTTATATGGGAAAAAACTTTTCGTAGAAATGGTATAGGTATATGGTTAAATAAACAATTGGGTATTATTATTGGGAATCTCCTGCAGATAAACAGAGTTTTCCGATAGAAAAATATTGATTTTTAACTATTCTATACCATTTCTACGAAAAGTTATTTTTTCCCCATATAAAATACATGGAAAACTTTACGGGTATATTTTTTTGGTATAGAACAATCCTAGGGGGTGAGAGCATAAAAATTCCGACTTTACTTTTTCACATGCATTATTGGACCACCCTAATGTACATAGACTGGCAATCAAAAGTGAGTGCAAGGTGTTTTTTGCTTAATATTTGCAATGTTTTTCAATTAAATTTTTTTTATTATCTTTTTAAAAATATGGATTATGCTTTAATCCAAACTATACAAGTCAAACTTTATACAGAACTTAGAAAAATTCAACGAATTTTCGTCTAAATTTTGACCTTTTCAATATGAATTAAAAAAAAAAAAATTGACTACACATATAGATCGGTTTTTTAATTCTAATGAAATAAAATCAAGTTTTAAGCGGCTAAAAAATCGAGTAGTTTTTTAATGAATTTTGTTTCCCGGCGGATTTTGCGGTTTTATGCATAAAACAAGTGCAATTTGTAAAATAGAGCGTTCTTTTTTTTTAATTTTGTTTGCAAACGGTCATACGCATTTTATTCTACAAGAAATTCCCTTTTATATGGTCAAAAGTGCAAACAGCGGTCAGCAATAAAAAATCATTAAATATCAACGCGATTTTTTAGCCGCTTAAAACTTACACTTGTTTTCTTAGAATTAAAAAACCGATATATGTATCTGCGTAGGTATTCAAAATTTTTCTAAATATTCAGATTAAATAGGTAAAAATTTAGACGAAAGTTCGTTGAATTTTTCTAAGTCTGTGTAAAGCTTAAAAGTTTGACTTGTATAGTTTTGATTAAAGCATAAACCACATTTTTATAAAAAGATAATAAAAAAAAATTTAATTGAAAAACATTGCAAATATTAAGCAAACAAGTAAGAAAGTTTAAGTTCGGGCGGAGCCGAACATTAAATACCCGGCGCAAATATTAAATATATGTTTTTCACCTTTCCGACAGATACCGATACATGGCAAGCCGGGGTGTATCAATTTTGAGTAAATTAGCGTCCTTAAATTTCGAAATATTAAAGTTTCAAGCATTTCTGAAATTTGCCGTTATATGAAAAGCGGCGTCAGTTTTAGACCGATTTTAATAATTTTCAATGTTTTGCTTTTATGTGGGTTTATGTTTTATGTGAGTTTGGTACGAATTGGTAGAACGGTTACCGAGATACATACATATATGTGATCATAAGTGTGCGGTGCCACGCCCATTTTCCAAAATTGTATCATAAACGTATTTCTTGGTAAAGAATTGTTGCAAGCGTCAATTTTGAATAAATTAGCTTTAATATTTACTGATTTATCGGAGATTTTGTATTTCTCTAAATGACCCTTATATGGAATGTGGGCGTGGTTATTGCCCGATTTTCGGCCATTTGGTATGCTGTACCAAGGCCAACAATTGTGCCAAGTTTGGAAGAAATCAATTTTGATAATCTTCAGTAATTACTAAAATATCGCAGTTTTCGTATTTCTGAAAACTACCGTTATATGGGAGGTAGGCGTGGTTATTGTCCGATTTTGCCCATTTTCAATACCATCCGTCCTACGCCCGAAAGAAGTACACGTACCAACTTTCGTTAAGATATCTTAATTTTTACTCGAGTTATCGTGTGCACAGACGGACGGACGGACACCGCTTAATCGATTTCTCTTTTCATCCTGATCATTTATGTATACATTTGTCTATATCTATCTCGATTCGATTTGCCTGTTACAAACAACCGTTATGTGAACAAAGTTATAATACTCTTGTGCACAAGTGCGCTCGGGTATAAAAACACCATGCACTCACTTTTGATTGCCAGTCCATGTATGCATGTATATTAGACTGCATCACTCCCCATACAAAAAAAAATCGGTACTATTTTTCCATTGGAATTATAAAACCAGTTCAAAATACCTCCAAAAATGGAGTTTTCTATGAATCAAAATAGTTTCTTAAATTTTTTTTTTTAAAAAATCCCCTCTAATGACAAAACGGTTTAAGCTCAAAAAAATTGCATAAAAATATTTAAAAAAAATTAAAAAAAAATTTGAACGGAATCGTAATGATGAGATTTTTGATGCTGTTTTTTAACTTTTTTCAAAGATTGGTATAAGAAAAACTTGAATAACTGAGCCTAAACTCTTCTGATTTAGACTTAAGAGGTGTCGGTGGAAAGGTATTTTCTCACCCTTTTTATTTCTTTTATAATAAACTCATTCAAAGGATGAAAGAGAAAGGTAGGATGAACGAACGTCATTCAAAGTTGAATTAAGATGTGTTGGTATTTGAAAAAAAAATTGCGACACGAATGATATTTTTTTGGACCGAAATGAAAACAGTGTGAAAATACCTTTCTACCGAGATCCCATAAGTCTAAATCAGAATAGCTTTGGCCCAGTTATTCAAGTTTTTCGTAAATCAATCTTTGAAAAAAGTAAACAAAACAGCATCAAAAATCTCATTCTTACGATTCCTTGTTATCATCATTAAATTCAACAGAATTTCTACATTCCGACTTGAACTTTTCTAACGCTGTTAATTTTTCGTCCGCGAATAGTTTCCACTTTCAGTTTGCACCCATTGTTGCCGCGCCGTCTCAAGAAAATGTATCACTGACCAAGCCAAAAATGTATCCAATTGTATCCAATTTTCTTTGTTTACGTATACATCTCATAATTTGTAAGAAAACCAAACATTTTCAAGAAGAAGACATCATTTAACCCATCCTAAGGAATTGGAATACATGTATATATATTTTTATTTTTCATAAAATCAAACGTTTGTAATTTAAATTTATAAAGTACATTTTTTGTGCATAAGTATTTTGAAAAGTAAGTATAATAAATAGCAAGTACACTATAAAAAAGCATGTAAAACTACTACTGAAAAGTATATATTTTTCAACAAGCATCAGTATAAATATAGGTCTTTAAAATATACTCATAAATACACATATATAGAGTGCTTAAAATTGCAAAAATTTTCAAAGTAAAAATACATTTCCTACTAATAATAAACATTACTATATTTACAACATTTTATGTGTAATTTTGATCTTGGCGACAAATTTGATATGTAAAAGTAAACAGGCAATATTTAATTTTATTACACTGTGTGCAAATTTGCACACATTATAAAAGGAAACTGGTTACCCCTCTTAATATGCGCAAATAAATACAAATTTTTTAGAGTGTATTTAAAGTCAATTCCGTAAAATAAATCAAATTTAGTTTTTTTTAAGTGTATTTTAAACTACATTAAAATCTTCTTTCTTTTTAAATTAACAAATGAAAATATGTGATATGAAAGAGATTACTACAGAAAGAGTATAATTTATTTTATATATACGTATATTAAGATCTTGCTTACAGCATCCTTTTAAGCTAATTAAAACAATTGCGCTTATACCTATTTTGGTGAGATCTCTTCATATGTTCATTGCTTCGTTCCCAAAAATTAAAATGCTTTGATTTCACGCTTCAGTAGCGATTTTTAATACATTTAAAAAACGTAATGCTTTCTATCATCTTTAATGAAAATAGATTTTTGAACGAAAAAAACTTTATAGAATATACAAAATTTTGCCTATTTAAAAAAGTATCCATATTTATACTGATCGGAAAAAATAAGTATCCCACAAAAATTCGTCTAAAAATGTATCCAATTGGATCTATTTAGATCCAAACGGCATCCCTGCAAGTAAAGCTAAACTTGACATTTTGATCATAGCAGGCTGTCACTCAAAAAGCTAATGTTGCGACAAAAATAAGTTAGTACTCGGTTTTTCAACCAGTTTTTATACCAAGAGTACAAAGAAAGATTGCAATCAAAAGTTATTGAATTGTAATAGAATTAGTCCAGAGGTCTTGAAACACTTGTATATGTGATTCGGCATTGCAATTTAGCCCTAATTTGTATAATTTCGATGTTGTATAAAATATGTATCCGCTGAACCGGTTGCTTTTCCGCCATATGTAATGAAAATTATGCGTCACTATTATGTTTGAGTATAATTTCTTTTGAACATTTGCGAACATTGCTGGTAAGTTGGTTTGATTTTCAATTTAATTTGTTAAAATGTTGATATTTTCCTTTTGGATTGCAACAAAAAGAATACGCTAGCAATTCTAAATAGGTATGTATAGAAATTTTTCGCAAAATTCATATGTTAACCTTTTATTTCAATTTGCAGAAACTGCGCTGGAAAACTCTTCAAGAGATCTGTGGCGGGAAACAATTTGAACAGCAATTTAAAGTGAGTTTGTGATAGAAATTTAAAGCAGTGAATTTTAGAAGAATTTATAGCCCGTTCCCTTACTCCAGGATTAGTCAGAAATAGGAAGTGGGCCCAGTACATACACACATTTATGTAAGGCATATTCAGTACTATCTTCCGGACTAAATCTTACTAAATCCTGGAGTACTGGAACAGTTTATTTAAGTGAAGTGAACTTAGAACTGTACAATGTATGTACACATTTAACTATGGCCACAATTTTAATACATATGTATGTACATAGGTATATAAGTATCTAAGTAAGATCATATTGCACAGTAGCTTAACTCGGGAGGCTGGAGACCATTGAAGAACTGTTAACAAATAAACGTGAAAGAAATAGTTCGGATGCTAGCAAGTCAATATTCTATTGTCTTATCAAAAAATTCCTTGTGATATAAAGAATTAACGGAATGATGCATTATATTAAAGCCAGCTTTCCGACTTAAGCTACAATGCCATACGAACACAGAAGCCAAAAATCAAATCACTCCATTGCTTTCTGTATTGTATCATTTTTGTTATAACTTGTAGTTTTCCATTGTCTGCATTGTTAAGGGATGGTGATATTTGTTTTTCTTTTATTTAATGTTTAGTACGTTTTACAACGGAAAACTTTGGTAAGAAAATGTACACCATATACCAAGAAATTCATTGTAAATTATAAGGAACAGGAAATCAATTGAATTTTAATAAGCATTAACATTTATAGGTTTTAAATAAGTTCTTTAAAATAAGCCTTGGCTAACAATTTTGTGAAATTATGTACATATATGTTGGACGTACATAATTTACATGGTATGAATCTGTTCATAAGCCGTATGAAATTTCCTATAAAAGAAGCACCAACTCTATGAAGAAATGAATGAAAGCGATATACATTTAATAATTTTGACTTATATACTTGGCGAAAATTCTTTTTGTAAACAAACAAAAAAATTTCATTGTGTGCTAACTTTGAAACTAAATAGAAGCTTATTTTTTTAATGTTCTTTGAAAGAGACCTACTGCCCATAAAGCCTTGTGAATTGCTATTTTTTCAAATGGGTAATGCCTCAATTCAAACATATTTGTAGATAAACTATTTTTTGTTCAGAAATGGCTTGTTTACGTTTTTCGTCTTTCATATTAAAAACGTTTGGCATAAGTTGAAATCGTAGGGATGCCGTTTTCTTTGGTTTCTCAATGGATTTTTTACTTGAAAAAGCACCAAAATATATATGCAATACTTCTACATATCGTCGTTTAAAGTACAAAACCGCGCATCAAGAAAATGCAAAACCTTGTATGTGAGGTTGCCTAAATTTTATAGGAGAGTAAGACTTGTCCTAATTAAAAACGGTTCTCTCTTTTAAACTCAATTATCTCTTCTCCTTATGTCTAAATATCGACATTTTATTATAAATGGCTAAGGGCTTGATGTCAGGAGCTTCCGGGGACCAAATATCCTTTTTGGCACATATTTTAGTTTCGAGGTTTTGCAGAACCACGATACGCGCTTTTATACTTTAAACGACGGCGTTACACAATATTTTAGTGTTTGGCCTAGCTTCTCCTTCGATATGGGTCGTGCGCCTTGATTTTGTCACAAAGACTCCGAACGACAATTGTACAGAATACACTCGGAGGTTAACTATTACCGACAGAGGGGCAAGCGCTATTAGAAAAAAACTTTTTTGTTTTTTACATTTTAATGTTGGTGGGAAACTGGGCTTGAATCAGTGTTGGCACTAGTCGATTGATTTTTTATTCAATTAGTTAATTCGATTAAATTCAATCCGATTACAGTTAATCATGATTAATTTTAATCTGATTAAACAGCTAATCGTAACCACGATTAAACAAATTTATTTTTAATCTTTAACCCTTAATCTGATTACGTAGATTTGGTGATTAATTAATTTATGCTGGAATTTTCCTGTGAACAAAAGTCCAGTTAATCGGGTATGGCTAAGTCGGTTTTCCTCATCTAAGCGATTTCGTGTGCATTTTCATTAAGATCTATTCCAACAGACGTTTTACAAACTAAGTTTTAATATCCCTCTGCACATGTGCGCTGGGTTGTAAAAGTTCCCAGTTTATGTATTACTAATAACAATAATTATAACTTTTTTTATATTATGTGCTTTTTATAAGCATAAAACACGAAATAATTTCTGTAACTAGTGTTTGGTCTCGAATTCGAACAAACTAGACAACATAATCAGATTTTCTTTTTAACTGGATTAATCGCTCAGTTGATTACGATTAACTAATTTTAATCGTCAATCACGATTAACATTTTAATCGTCAATTTTTAATCAATAATCAGATTAACATTTTGCCAACACTGGCTTGACCTCAGGCGCTGCGTATAGCTCCACAGCAGCCGCCACTACTTTACATATATTGCTGGTATTGAAAAGAGTTCACATGTATAAATTAAAAGATATAAATTAAGCAGTTACAACGCTAAACAAAAGGAAAAGTTAACTCGTTAACTCTCTGACCTTTTAAGATATGACACCCCATTATTTGCAGTAGTTTGCAAATAAACACTAATTGCTCTAAAATCGCATACATTTTCATGGGATGTTTTTCTTTGATTTCGAATTGAAAATACATTATGATCATATTGTACCGAAATAAGTGCGGTATCCCTGCATTTTGTAAAAGCCAGAAAGAAGCATAAACTGTATGAAAAAATGAAAGGGAGAAGTATACATGCCTTCTATAATTTTGGCTTATATGTATATTTGGCAAGTTTTTGTGTAAACAACAAAAAATACACATTTTCATTTCTTTGCCAGCTTGGAAAATATAGGCTTATTTTTACTTAAATGTGATATAAAGCTCATTAAAATGTTCGGTAATGTCTTGTTTTAAGTTTGTTATCATAGTGCCTTGTATTTTTATTGTCCACTATACGTGAGTTGCTTCTATTTCAAAAAGTTCTTGTACAATTAATTTCTTTGTTTTGAATTTGTTTTTTTTTATTGTTTTTAATTTTTAAAATTCATACTTTTGACATGTATGTGAATGGCGGAGTTACCGCTTTCCTTCTTTTCGGTGGCATTTTATATTAAAAAGGCATAAAAATGGGAAAACACCTCCTTGGTATCTCTGCATCTGTTAATCTTTTTATGGGAAGATGTATGAAAATCCTACTTGCCATAATTTCATATGCTTAACAGTATCACAACAGTATGTTTACAGTATCTCCCCATAACTTTTCATATGAAAAAATGTATTATATGCATCCCACTCGATATCATTGAATTCCTCATTAGAACATGTAGTCCCTCTATTTTAGCGTATCAACAGTTCATATGATTTCATACCATGTAAATGCACCATAAGGCATCGCACAAAAGTGTAACATTTTTTGAAAAAGGCTAATTTATTTAAAAGAAATTATAACGAACAGAAAGGCAATTAAATTACCTTTCTCTCAATAAGCACTAACATCAATAATTTTTAAATAATTTGTCAAAATTAAGCCTTGGCTAACAACTTCGTGAAATTATGTATATGTGTGTTAAACGTACATAAAGCATCGCACAAAAATGGAAAATTTTTTGAAAAAAGGCTAATTTATTTAAAAGAAGTTATAACGAACAGAAAGGCAATTAAATTACCTTTCTCTTAATAAATAAATGTAAAATTTTTTGAAAAAAGGCTAATTTATTTTAAAGAAATTATAACGAACCCAAAAGTGATTTAATTTTTATTTGCTGAATTTTCTTTTAGCGCTACAGGGTGATTTCAAATTTATTAAGTAACAGTCGATACCTTGCGAGACCTCTTCAATCAGAAACGGTCGTACGGATTTGATGAAATTCCGCACACTGATCGCCTAAAACTGAGACCAAATTTTTGAATATTCTCTACATTTTTCAAGGGGGTACCACCTGTTTGCAAAGTAAGTTTCCAATTAATTCATAATTTAATTGTTTAAAAATTAAATTAAATAAAAACACGTCTTGCACGTCGAGAAAGGAGAAGAAACAAAGATTTATTGCAGAAAAAAATAAAAATCCTGCATGCCACATTTTACCTATAAATGATTTTGGGCCCATATAAGTCATCAAGACTTGCATTTTTTTATCTCTACTTTATTTATTTAATATTTTGTAAACATTACTAACTGTTTTTTAATTAATGTTATAATTTCATCTTTTCACGCATGGTTTTTATTTCCTTTCCAACTTTTTCTAATTCCTCACTCTTCTATATTCGATTGATTTCATCCATCCAAAATCCCTAATGAATTCAACTTGCGTGAGAAAAATTGTGTAGATTGT